ACCCTGAGCACCCCAGGATAACCTGATTATTGGGCTGCTCTGAGACGAGGCGTGGATGTGGTGAAGAATTTTAAAAAGGAGGGAATGTGTTTTTCAGGATATTTAGAGAATCCGCCTGCACTGAGGCTGGGAGGAGGGAAACAGCGTGCTTAGCCCTGGGACTGGAATTTATATTCCAAGGAGTCCATGCTGGACTGCCTCATCAGAACTTTGGAATTAATTCACTTGGGAGGCCGCAGGCCTACTATGTGCAGAGTAAGACTTGAGGGCAGGCGGAAGGCGGCTTCTGCCCCCTGGGCCTGGACCCATCAGACTTATGGGAAGCCGAGGATGACCTGTCAGAGGCAGAGGGATCTCCATGTGTGCCGGTGTTTCCAGAACAGAAGCGGGACAGAGTGTTTTTTGGCCGTTGAGCACCTAGTCAGCCTTCTCCTGGTGGAAACTCCATTCTTATGTGGGGCTCTATTCTCAGCCAAGGTTCCAGGGTAGAGCTCCTGCTACCCCCACGTCTGGCTCAGGAGTGGACCATGTGACTTATAGTCCAGGGAACCAGTCGTCCTCCCGGCTACACTGATTGGCTCAGGGACAGACATGGGACTGATCCAGAGCCAATGAGATGCACTGAGACTCACTGGGAATCCTGGGAGACAGATTCCCACGCCTGCAGCTGGCCAGGAAACTGGGAGGATGTAAGGAAGGTTACATTGCTACCAGGAGGCGAGAGAGCGTCTGTGAATACAGCCGAGCAGAAGAAAACAGAGCTGACAGTAGAGGGAAACCAACTCCATGGGGGTTCATTTGAACTCCTGGATCCACCCATGCCTGATACCCCTACAGCTGGTTTTCAGTTAAACAGGTGAATATATTTCCTCTTTGATTAAGCCAATGGGAGTTAAATTTCTGTTCATAAACAACTGCAAGCGCCTAGTCTGATTACAAAAAATTACCCTATAGTGGCCGGGTGCTGTGGCTCACGCCTGTAATCCCAGCACTTTGGGAGGCCAAGGTGGGTGGATCACTGAGGTTGGGAGTTCAAGACCAGCCTGACCAACATGGAGAAACCCCATCTCTACTAAAAATACAAAATTAGCTGGGCGTGGTGACACATGCCTGTAATCCCAGCTACTCAGGAGGCTGAGGCAGGAGACTCACACGAACCCAGGAGGCGGAGGTTGCAGTGAGCCAAGATCGTACCATTGTACCCGAGCCTGGTCAACAAGCGCAAAAACTCTGTCTCAAAACAAAAACAAAAACAAAAAACAACAACTAAGATGATTGTAATAACCAGCAAGCTTGTAGGTTGAAATGGCTCATACTGGGGATGACAAAATAGATGGGTGTGATGTGTGTGTGTGTGTGTGTGTGTGCATTAATGATGTGTGCACATCACTTAATGGTTTATATCACATCTTCATGTGCCAGACTGTGAGCTCCAGGAGGACCATGGCTGGGTATGTTTTCATTCACCCTGGAATAGCCAGCACTTGGCATGATGCCTGGCACACAGCAGGCTCTCAATGAATACTTGTTGGGGGTGGTGAATGAATAATGGAATCAAGTTTGACTAGTCCACTCCCCTCATATGATTGTTCTGAGTATCAGAAGTACTACATGTTAAACACCCAGCAGGGTGCCTGGTACACAGTAGGTGCTCAGTAAATGGAAGTGCACATGACTAAGTATGCAAGCGTATGCTCGTTTGTCAGATTTGGGAGTTGAGGCTCTTAGGAGTAGGCAGCATGTCCAAGATCACGTAATATGTGTCCAGGTTGGGGCTCTGAGCTTGATCCCACTGACTCCAAATGTGAAACTCACTGTACAGTCCCTGGAGGGTGTTGGCAGAATAATGACATGATGGGCTGAAGGGCCGCAGGCCTGTGGGTCAGGCGTGCTCAATTCATGCAGGATTTTAGAAGAGTCTGAAGTAGCTGCCAATATTTACCAATCAGGAGATTTCATAGGTAAAAAATACAAATTTGCAGCTTCTGCCGAAAAATAGGAAAACTGGCCGTCTGGGTCCACAGTTCTACCTGGGCCCGATCTGCCCCTTTTAGACAGACGCCTTCTCCACAGTCCCCACCAGTCCCTATTGTCCACTCACTCCCGGCTTGCTACCCTCTTTCAGTGATTGCCTGTTCTCTAGTGACTTTAACCTGGGGAGTCACAGTAGGCAGGGCCCAGGACTGGTGGCAGTGTGGAGGGGAAAAGAGAAAGAAGGATGGATTTGGCAGCCAGTCTGGGGAAAGAATGTACCAGCTGTGGGGGGATGTCAGAGCTGACTCTGATGATTCGGATGGGGCAGGAAGATTTGTTCATTTCTATGTTTCTTTTAAAATGGGACATCTGGATGAAACCTCACCGTCAGCCTCTCCTCCTCCTCCTCCTCCTCCTCATCTAAGCCAGGGGTCAGCAAACTACAGCCAAGCAGGTCCACTGCCTGTTTTTGGAAACAAAGCTTCCTTAGAACATGGCCATGCTTATTTGTTTGCATATTACCCATGGCTGCTTGCACATTATAATGGCAGACTTCAGCAGTGGTAACAGGACTGTAAGCCTTGTCAAGTCTAAAATATTTAGTATCCGGCCCTTTACAGAAAATATTTGTTGCCCTGATCTAAGCCACTACATACTGAGTATTTACTACGTGCAAGGGGGTGCTTCTAATGTTCTACATGTATTAACTCATGTGATCCTCAAAAGCCTCTGTGGTAAAACCATAAGGAAACACCACTACACGCCCAGCAAAGCAGCCTGACAAAAAAGACACCACCAAGTGCTGATAAAGGATGCAGAGCAACTCCCATTTCTGGTTGGGAATGTAAACTGGTGCAACCTTTTTTTTTTTTTTTTTGAGATGGAGTCTTGCTCTGTTACCCAGGCTGGAGTGCAGTGGCGCGATCTCGGCTCACTGCAACCTCTGCCTCCTGGGTTCACGCCATTCTCCTGCCTCAGCCTCCTGAGTAACTGGGATTACAGGCGCCCGCCACCACGCCGGGCTAATTTTTGTATTTTTAGTGGAGACAGGGTTTCACCATGTTGGCCAGGCTGGCCTCGAACTCCTGACCTAAAGTGATCCACTCGCCTCGGCTTCCCAAAGCACTGGGATTATAGGCATGAGCCACTGCGCCCGGCCGGGTGCCACATCTTAACACATCCTATGTCCCAGCAACTCTTCTTCGGGTGTGTAACCAAAATAAATGGGCACATATGTCCACTAAAAGCCATGGACAAGGATGTTCATGGCAGCTTAGTTTATAACAGACCCAAACTGGAGACAACCAAATGTCCATGAGTTGTTGAAGGGATAAATACAGATCTCACAGACACCGCACTGGGTGAAGAAAGGTAGACGCAGAAGAGAACAGACTATACGATTCCATTTAGGTGCAGTTCTAGAACAGCCAAAACGAATCCACGGTGACAGAAGTCGGAGTAGATGCCATCCCCAGGGTGGGGTTCATGACTGGAGAGGGGTCCCAGGGAGTCTTCCGGAAATGCTGTACGTCTTGATCGGAGCCGTGGTGAGACAGATGCACGCATATTTGAAACAGATGCACACGTATGTGAAAATTCACTGAGCGGTCCACTTAAGATCTGTGCGTGCTACCTCATGTCAATTCATCTTAAATTAAAAATAGAAAAAACGACGACTGAGGATCAGCCACCTCAGCAGGTGCTTAGGCAGGAACCACTCACTCTGAACACGCACACGCCCTGTGCTCAGCAACGCTGCTGTGAGGAGCGGGTGTAACAGAAACGAACCCCTGTGCTCACCAGGAACTAGGTTCTAGACGGTGCTCAGCGGCACTATGTGTAATAACCCTAAACTGGAAATACCTAAATGCCCAATGAAAGTAGAATAAATAAACAAATTGCGGTATAAGCGCATGACGGAATGCTGGGCAGCAAGAATGAACTCAACATAATACCAAGCAAGAGAAGCCAGAGGCAGAGAGAATCTGTAACGCTAAGAGTCTGAATCATCGTTATGCTCGTGGGAGGGCTGTCGAGTGGGGGGAATTCCGTGAGGGGACTGCTGCGGGCGGTGGTGACATTCTCTTCTTGGCCTACCTGGGTGCTCGTTACACATGTCCGTTCAGTTTGCAACAAGCCCTTGAGTGGTACACTCTGTATATGTACTTTCTGTAAGAATATTCTGTCTGGGCAAAATGTTAAAAAACCAAACTCTTGGAAACAGAGACTATTCTTTGAGAAATGAATACACTTTTCTTTTTTTTTTTTTTTTTTTTTTTTGAGATGGAGTCTTGCTCTGTAGCCCGGGCTGGAGTGCAGTGGCCAGATCTCAGCTCACTGCAAGCTCCGCCTCCTGGGTTTAGGCCATTCTCCTGCCTCAGCCTCCGGAGTAGCTGGGACTACAGGCACCCGCCACCTCGCCCGGCTAGTTTTTTGTATTTTTAGTAGAGACGGGGTTTCACGGTGTTAGCCAGGATGGTCTCGATCTCCTGACCTCGTGATCCGCCCGTCTCGGCCTCCCGAAGTGCTGGGATTACAGGCTTGAGCCACCGCGCCCGGCCCACTTTTCTTTTCTTTTTTAAAGACACAGTCTTGCTCTGTCACCCAGGCCCAAGAGCAGTGGCAAGATCTTGGCTCACTGCAGCCTCAAACTCCCAGGCTTAGGCAATCCTCCCATCTCAGCCTCTCCAGTAGATGGGACCATAGGCATGTGCCACCACACCTGGCTAGTTTTTGTATTTTTTGTAGAGACAGGGTCTCGTCATGTTGCCCAGGCTGGTCTTGAACTCCTGGACTCAAGTGATTTGCCCACCTTGGCCTCCCAAAGTGCTGGGATTACAGGTGTGAGCCACTGTGCCTGGCTGAGAGATGAAAAAACTGAGAATGAGGAGGTGGATGTAAAATGCTCAAGGTCACACTTCTAAGTGTCTGAGTCACAATCTGAACCTAGGTAGTCTGGCTCCCGAGTTGGGCCCCTAACTGCTGGGCCTCACGGTCTCTCCCAGGCCGGAAAGGTCGCAGCTTACCTTGGAGTAGTCGGAGCCGTGCTTCTCTTTCACCCCATTCCGACACAACGTGTAGTTATAAAAGCGGGAGTTTTTAAGAAGTCCGACCCACTCCTTCCAGCCGGGCGGCACGTAGGAGCCGTTGTATTCATTAAGATACTTCCCGAAGAAAGCTGTGGAGAGAGATGGATCAGGAGGCCACGTGAGAAAGTGCCTGACGATGTTTATTAAACCATTGTATTGAGTATGCACACCTGCTCTGCCATGGAGCCCCCTGGCACACGGAGCCAATGGATCCCTTCTCCTATGTTATTACATGCATTGAATACAAGACATAGGGTTACAGAGAAAATCAATTGTTTGGAAATACGGTTATCAAAACACCAAAAGCATTTGCTATACGGTGTGTCTTTGAGTTTTATTTCAGACGGAGTCTTGCTCTATTGCCCAGGCTGGAGTGCAATGACACGATCATGGCTCACTGCAACCTCTGCCTCCTGGGTTCAAGCGATTCTCCTGTCTCAGCCTCCTGAGAAGCTGGGATTACAGGCGTCTGCCACCATGCCTGGCTAATTTTTTGTATTTTTAGTGGAGACGGGGTTTCACCATGTTGGCCAGGCTGGTCTCGAACTCCTGACCTCAGGTGATCTGCCTGCCTTGGCTTCCTAAAGTGTTGGGATTACAGGCATGAGCCACCATACCTGGCCTACTGTGTCTTTTAAAACCTTGTAGACTGTGATCATTTCAAAACAGTTACAAGTGAAAATATTTGATTTTGTGATATCTGCAACAACTGCAATGGGATATTAAAATACTGGTTTCTACAGATGACAAAGCTATAGATTCTGCCAACATACTGTGGTTTATGGCCTATGCTCATATTGGAAGCAAATGCTAAGTTTCAGCTATAGGTTAGTGAAAATGAGACTGTAATTATTTTTCCCCATTGAAGTTTGTGGATCCCTTGGATTCTGTCTACTACACAGCAACCAGAATGGCAAACATTAAAAAAATGGGCAACACTAAGTATGGGTGGGGATATGGGACAACTTGAGCCCTCACACACTGGGTGGCTGCCCCAACTGGTCCAGCCACGGTGGGGAACTCTTTGGCCGTGTCTGCTAAATTTGAACGCATTGATAACTTCTACCAAGCAATTTAAATCTTGGGTATTTACCCAATAGAAAAGTATTCGTACATTCACCTAAAGTCAGGTGTAAGACATGACAGCACATTTGTAATAGTAAATAAGTAGAAACAAATGAAATGTTTATCAACAAAAGGATGGGTAAAGAAATTGTTGCGTATTTAGAGAATGGAAGGCTGCATTGAAACCTGAATGAAAGACCTAGTGCTACATTCAAGAACAGGGATGCATCTCAGCAACCTAAGAATGTTAAGAGAAATAAACCAGATACAAAAGAATACATGCCATATGACCTCATCTATGAGAACAGGCCAAACTAACCTATGGTGTTAGAATAAAAACAGTGGGTATCCTGGAGACGGGGGGATGGTGGGTGGGAGCAGCAAGGGGTGTTTAATGAATGGTCTTGTTCTGTGTCTTGCTGGAGCAGGTGGTTCAGTTGGTGACACCTCACTGGCCTGGACATTTGGGAGCCGTGCACTTTTCCACATGCATGCGTTACATCAACAACAAAGCTTAAAGAAAATCATCCTAATTCATCGGGAAGGGGATGTGCCTAAAACCTCTCTGTGATGAGGAGACAGACAAGTCCTCTTCATGGTCTTCTTCTGTTTTTATTTTGCATGTACATTTTTTTTTCTTTGAGACACATCTCACTCTGCCACCCGGGCTGGACTGTAGTGGCACCATCACGGCTCACTGCAGCCTCAACCTCCCAGGCTCAAGTGATCCTCCCGCCTCATCATCCCGAGTAGCTGGGACGACAGGCACATGCCACCATGCCTGGCTTATTTTTGTAGTTTTTGTAGAGAAGGGGTTTCACCATGCTGCACAGGCTGTTCTTGAACTCCTGAGCTCAAGCGATCTGCCTGCCTCAGCCTCCCAAAGTGCTGAGATTACAGGCGTGAGCCATGGTGCCTGGTTTGCATGTACAATAACTGCCGACTAGAGACAGCAATCCTATTCTAGTCCTCTCTTTCTAGATGAGGACGCCGCGGTTCTGAAATTTCTGACGAGTATTGTTGAGAGCACAGAACACGAGCGTTCCAGGCAGTTGTAGGGATGTAAGGAGATCTTGCTAACAGAAGCTCGGCGCTGGGCCTTGTGCATGTGAGTACTCAGCTAAGAACTCAGGATGAAAAGAGAAAGGCCGGGGAGGTGAACCCCCAGAGGAAGGACAGTGGGTGGGATGGGACTCTGGTGCCCCTAGAGGAGAGGACAACCCATCCACCAGTGTCCCTGGAGAAAGTACAGAGCCACCTGGCCGTGGGAGAGCTGCGATGGAGCTGGCTCCCTCTGCAGGGGTTTTCCTGGTGACCTGGAAGATGTCTGACACTTTCCGGGAGGGGGAAGACCCCTTAGGAACCCAAGCAGCGGGATTCTGGAACTCCCAAAATACAAGGCAAAGGGGAGCACTTCATTAAATAACTCACCCACCATGCAGGGCTGGGAGGTGACCACTCCAGAGGGAGGAGCTGATGAAACACCTCCTAGAAGGATCTGGGTACACAGGAGAGGTGAAAATAGGAAGGGAGGATCCCCTAGCAGCCTCAGGGGTAAGGTCCAGGATGGAACCTCCCTTTCTGTGGGAGGATGGAGCAAAAATAAACGGGAAGAACCTGGCGTTCTGCAGAGGAGGAGGCGGGGAACCGGCTGCAGTCTCTGAGTCATATCCAGTTTTCACAGAGTGAAATGTAATTAGGTGGTGGGTGCCTAATTAAACAGCGACTGGGCGTCCCTGGCTAGGTGTCAGGGAGTCACTGATGGAGTGGGAGGCAGCATGAGAGTCCTGGGCAAGCTAAAGGCCTGCACTTCTCTTTCTCTGGCACCTGGAATGTTGGAGATGCCTCAATGCATCCAGCTCCTCAAAGCAGTGGCTCTTGGCCAGAAGGTGGGTAATCTCTGTCCCCAGGAGACACTTGGCAATGTCTGGAGACATTTTTGGTTTCATCACAACTTGGTGTGCTATTGATATCTGGTGGGTGGAGGCCAGGGATGCTGCTCAATATTCGCCGACGCGCATGGCAGCCCCCACGCTACGAAGACTGAGCCAGGACAAAATGTCAGCAGCCCCTAATCCAATAACCCTTTTTTTTTTTTTTTTTTTTTTTTGGAGAGAGGGTCTCTGTTTTCCAGGCTGGAATGCAATGGCGTGATCTCGCCTCACTGCAACCTTCACCTCCTGGGTCCAAGGGATTCTCTTGCCTCAGCCTCCTGAATAGCTGGGACTATAAGCGTGTGCCATGATGCCCGGCTAATTTTTGTATTTTGAGTAGAGACGAGGTTTCACCATGTTGGCCAGGCTGGTCTCGAACTCCTGACCTCAAGTGATCCACCTGCCTCGGCCTCCCCAAGTTCTGGGACTACAGGCATGAGCCATCGTGCATGGCTGAGAAACCCTCTCTTATTTAAATAAACCTGTCTATGGTCCAACCCTCTAGCATCTCACCCTTCAGGTCTTTAGAGCCATGTTGTGAGAGCCAGGAAGGCCCCTGGAGACCAAATGTAGGTCAGGAAACCAGATTTCCTAAACCTAGTGACCTTGACCCCCACCTCTGACGCTGCCCTCCATGTGGGGGGCTCCACTCCTGTAACAATCCTGGCCTCTCTCCATGCTCTCCTGTACCTCCTCCGAGGGGGACAATATACAGCAGAGGTCACCAAACCTTTTCTGTAAAAGCCAGATAGTCAATATTTTAGGCTTTGTGGTCCAGAGGGTCAAAAGGTCTCTGTGACAACTACTAAACCCTGCTATTGTTAAAAAGAAAAAAAAAAAAAAGTCACAGACAAGATATAAACAAGTGGGCGGGGCTATGTTCCAATAAAGCTTCATTTACCACAACAAAGGGAGGGCCTGGTTAGGTCCACTGGCTGTGGTTTGCTAACCCCTAGCATGTGTCTGGTGGGTTTGAAGGGCCAAAGTGGGCATGGGTAGCCCAATCCTTCCTGTGCTTTTCCTCTGGGGACTGAACTGCCCCCAGGGAGTGCTAGCTTTCAGGAGGCTTGTCCTGTCCGCGTGGGGAGGAGAGGTGTGGACCAGCATGAGTAAAAAGTCCGTCACACTCGGAGTTTAGTCAGGAAGCCCAAACGCCCTCAGAAGGAAGCCATGCCCTCAAACCTAGCCTTCACCAGATTCATCGGAGTGCAGTGTTGACTGGCATCTGCTGACTCCCGGGTTTGATTTCTTAATCGGCTCAGGACCTCAACAAGGAAGAGGGTAAAATAAGCCCCCTCATAAATTGGTATTCCCATTTTTCTAAGAAAAAAATGAGCTTTATTATTGTTATTACTATTATTTTTTTGAGATGGAGTCTTCCTCTTGTACCCAGTCAGGAGGACACTGGTGTGATCTCAGCTCACTGCAACCTCCGCTTCCCAGGTTCTAGCAATTCTCGTGCCTCAGCCTCCTGAAGAGCTGGGATTACAGGCGTGACCATCACGCCCAGCTAATTTTTGTATTTTTAGTAGACACAGGTTTTTGCCATGTTGGCCAAGCTGGTCTTTAACTCCTGACCTCTGGTGATCCGCCTGCCTTGGCCTCCCAAAGCGCTGGGATCACAGGTGTGAGCCACCCCGCCTGGCAGAGTTTTATTATTTTTCACTCTTCTTTTTTCTCCATTTCCCCTATGCCCCACTTTGCCCTTTAGAAATGCAATTATAACCTTTTACCTCCCCTACACCAGACAGTCTCTTCAGGCCAAGTTCATCTAATCACCCGCTTAGAGGCTCCGGAGCGGAACTCTTACTCACCAGGAGGTTGCCTCGAGAGACAATGGTCCATCTACAACCCAAAGTATGCCTGCTGTGAAACTCCCTCCCAGGTGCAGAGCTTCTGGCCACCCTTAGAACCTAGTTCCACCCACAAAGGCACCAGTGGCTGTCAGCTGACTTCCCGGTGGATGAAGTACTTGAGTGAGATATGCGGACCCCCCAGCACTCACTTCCTCCCCTGTGTGCCATTCATGCCAGGCTCCCTTTTAAAAGCACCTCCTTTCTGCTCCTAAAAGCAAAGCAGTACTCTTAAGG